ATGTGATTGCAATAACGACATTTTAATATGATCTTAGGATTGAATCCCTTTGAGTCAATTCACCAATTTTCATTTGAAATGAATCCAAAATTTTGAGGGAGAAAACAATTTCACTCACATCTCTCAATTCTCTCACTTTGGTTCTTGTTATTTACTTTACCTTTCCTGAGTAATAGCACCACTAAAATTACAACACGTTATCAACATGAAGAACTTAACAAGTGTAACGGTGCATACCTACTGAATGTACGTATTTTCAACCCTACAAGTGTTATTTAATCCCTGTTTCTGTCTTTATGGTTGGATTTGTTTATTACTATTAAATTCTGCCTCCATGGTCAGATTTATTTATTATTGTTAAATATCGTCTTTATGGTCGAATTTATTTATTATTGTTAAATTCTGTCTCTATGGTCGGGTCTACTTATTATTAGTAAATTCTGCCTCTATGGTCAGATCTATTTATTATTGTTAAATTCCGCCTCTTTGGTTGGACCTATTTATTATTATTAAATACTGCCTTCATGGACGGATCTATTTATTCTTATTGAATACAACCTTTATGATTGGATCTACGTTTATTATATTTTCCATATTATATCTAATAAATGAACTTGAAGTTCCATAAATAAATATCGTTTTAGAACTTGAAGTTCTAAATACTAATTACAAACATAAAGTTTGTAAAACAGAGACAAAAATTGGACCTGAAGTTCCATATCATAAAGACGAAGTTTTGTAAACATCCTTACTAATGTAATTTTTTTTTAAGGATGGACTTCAAAACTGAGACTTTGATATCCAGTAATGGTGAAAACTTTTGTATAGTAGATAGTGCAACAACGCACACCATCCTTCGAGATAGAAAATATTTCTTAGGTTTGACCTTTACTAAGGCTAAAATAAATGCCATATCAGGATCTGCAAACATTATTGAGGGCTCTAAAAGAGCAAAACTCGTGTTACCAAGTAGAATTAAATTAAGTATCCATGATGCTTTATATTCTAGCAAATCCAGAAGAAATTTGTTTAGTTTCAAAGAAATACAACTCAATGGATACCACATTGAAACTTTAAGTGAAAAGGATGGAGAGTTTCTATGCATCACTGCTAATATTTCATGCCAGAACCATGTACTGGAGAAACTCCCTGCTTTCTCATTAGGGTTATATTACACATTCTTGAAGAATGTTGAAGTCTATGCAGTTATGAACTAAAAGTTCACTAATCCTAAATTTTTTAAAATTTGGCATGACCTTCTTGGTGACATAGGATCTACTATGATGCGTAGGATCATAGAAAACTCACATGGGCACCCATTAAAGAATCTAAAGATTCTATCACCTAATGAAAGTGCTTGTATTGCTTACTCACAAGACGAATTGGCACTGAAGCTATCCATCACTAAAGTTGGTGTAAAATCCCCATCATTTTTACAAAAAATTCAAGGGGACATATGTAGACCTATTCATCCACCAAGTGGACCTTTCCGCTACTTTATGGTATTGATTGATGCATTGGCACAATGGTCACATGTTTGTCTACTATTTACTCGTAATGTTGCCTTTGCTAGATTGCTGGCACAAATTATTAGATTACGGGCACACTTTCTAGATTACCCACTCTGAGATTCTTGCGCTTCATGAAGCTAACTGAGAATGCGTATGGTTAAGATCTGTCATCCATCATATTGAAAGTACATGCAAATTGTCACGTACCTCATATGCTCCCATAATTATAAATGAAGACAATACAACATGTATTGCTCAAGTCAAAGGAGGATATATCAAAGGAGACAGAACCAAGCATATTTCACCGAAGTTCTTTTACACTAATGAACTCCGGCAAAATCGTGAGATTGATGTCAAACAAATTCGCTCTAGTGATAATCTTGCAAATTTATTCACTAAGGCCTTACCTATATCAACATTTGAAAAATTAGTATATAACATCAGTATGCGGTGACTTAATAAGTTACTAAATTAATTCTACCATTATGAGGGGGAGCATTGATCAAGAAGAGCATCGATTTGGGGGAGTTTTTTTTATAGAAAAGTGTATTATACTAGTTATTGTACTAGACATATGTGCACTATACTTTTTTTCCTTGATTAGGTTTTGTCCCACTGGGTTTTCTTGACAAGGTTTTTAATGAGGCAGTATGAAGCACGTCCAACTTCACATTATAGTTGTATTTCTTTACTTAGGTTTTTTCCTATTGGGTTTTTCTTGAGTAAGGTCAAATACACTTATTTGTAAGCGGTGGATGTCCAAGGGGGAGTGTTGTAAAAACATTGGTGGCCATCCATTTTCATTCAATTCACCCATTTTCATTTGAAATGAATCCAAAATTTTGAGAGAGAAAACAATTTCACTCACATCTCTCAATTCTCTCACTTTGGTCCTTTTTATTTACTTTACCTTTCCTGAGTAATAGCACCACTAAAATTACAACATAAGCTTTTGTATGGGTTTATAATTGTGAAGTGATATTAAGCTTTATACACGAGTTTAAGACTATAAAAATATTAGGCTTAGAAAATGAAAGTTACCATCACTTTATTAAAAATGCAATTTGGAAATACCATAATAAAATGTAATTTTAACTATTGAAATGCTTGGATCCAATAACGTATATATTGTCAAAACTTGTGTAAAAAAAAGTGGGACTACTTAAACAGTACTTTAACTTCTGTTGATGTGTGATTTTGACACCAACTATTCGCACGTGAGAGATGCTGAGTGAGCTCAGAAGTCACACGTGATTATGGGGGTATTTGATTCGGTAAGGGGTGAAGAACAATGTTTAAAGTGGTTCGGATGCTCAAACAAACGAATCCTACGTCCACTGATATTATATTAATGAGTGAAGTCAGGTCACGTTCAGCGAGCTAATTTATGGCTTAAGAAATACAATAGGGAGAGAGAGTGTGTGTGTATTCTATTTCAGAGAAAAATTAGCTAATCCCACAAACGGGAGAGGAGCCCTCTATTTATAGTGGGAGGAATTAAGGTAATGATTACTAAATCTATGAGTGGGGCAGATGCCGTGCAAATCCTTCTCTGCGTCCCATTACTCACCTGCACGAGTGATTTCCTCGACTTGTGCAGGGATTGGACACGTGGACCTTTTCTAGCCTTTTGTCAACCTAGCGCATACCCACTGCACTGGCAGTAGCATGCTGCTCACGTCATCACACGACGTGGCTGCATTTGAATGGATGTAGAACCTTCTTAAGCTCCAACCACCCATGCTGACAAGTCTCGGCTTCAGCCCTACTTTCTCAGGCATAACAGAAGTCCCCTAGTTTTTAAGGTTTGAGGATTGAACCTTGAAAACTACACAATCATGCCTTGATTTGATGTGCTTAGTGATCGCTGGTCGATCTGACCTTGTTGTGAGGAGGTCGCGAAATATTTCCATATAGGCGACTTGAAATTGTCCTTTTTCGTAAGGCCTGCGACCTATACTAGACCTTATTCAGTGCCATTGCGATGATTCCAATCTTGACCAAGGTTCACGAACTGATGATACTTAGCGTATTTTTTGTTGAAGGTATAGAGTCACGTCGCTTCGCAATTGACATGCGATCAAGAGTGTTTTATCTAACGACCTCTTCAGATGTTATCCGTTGTGCTTTGGTAGCGGATACATTAATGAAACACCTTTTGCTCTGATAGATGTGTCTTATGCACAATAAGTGCCAGCCATGCGCATTAAATGCGAGCCATGCTGAAACGACATTCCTTATCAAAATATTAAATGCGGATGTGAACGCATTTAATGTGGAGGAGAGAAGCTAGCCGTCACTTGAGTATTTCAACGGAGAGAAATGACGATTTGATTTCTCGAAGCGTGACGATTACTCTTTCTCGTTGATTGATGACACGTGGTCGCGATCAATGGTGAGAGACGATTTTTGTTCAAACGTCGTTTGACTTTGGGAAAACTAAGTGCCACTTCCTTCACTATAAAACCCCTGGCTCACCTCAAGCAATGTCACAATACTCACCTCTTCAGAGAGAACAATAAGCTTTTGTGAGCCTCAATTTTTCGTCTTTCAGACCTTTGCGCACTTAACATTCAGAGCAGGAGGATCAATCTTCATACTCAAGAGGTAATGATGATTCTATTATCACTTTCATTTTTCTGTTTTTTGGAGATGGTTATGCGATAATGGTGATCATTTGCTGGTGGTTGATTGGAGAATAAGCTTTCTCCTAGGGTTTGAGTCTTTGGAGGGTGGCCCCTAAGGATTCTTTAGGGTTTTTCTAGGGTTTAAGGAAGATGGTGCTTATTTTTCCTCCACGTCATCGTACGAAAAAAGTGTACAATGACTGAGTAATTCCTACATGTTGCTTTTTTCAGACCGTAGAAGAATTGGACCCCTTAGCGACCAGGACAGATGAAGGAACGAGCTCACTAGTGTAGGATGCCCCAGCGGGTCCCTCTTAGGAGATTCTGTCAATACCCATTGTAGAGGATATTTAGAAAGCGGTAGGCCAATACGCTCTCAGCATAGAGGTCTACCAACATAGGACGTACACAACTCAGAATCCGCCAGAAGGAATGGCTGCGATCTCCGAGAACATTTTTAAGTGTGGAGCGCTGATCCCTTTCCACTCTTTTATCAGGTCGGTCCTCGATCATTTCGGGGTCGCACCGTTACAGCTTAAGCCAAATGCGTATATGATAGCAGTGGCTATGTATATCGTATGCGGCGAGAATGGTTTAGACGAGCTAACTGCGCTGGAGCTCAATTGCTTGTATTTTCTGAAGAAGAGTAAAGACAAGGACTCTTTCTACCTCTCGAAACAATCTACGATTGAGGGAGGAATACACAGTTACCCCAGCAACGTCGGGGCATACGAGATGAAGTTCTTCTTTTTTCATTATGATGGCATTTGCCAGTTTAGGGAGCCGAGTAGGTTTTTCCTTTCTTTGACTTGGCAAATTTCCTTTTAATCTTTGCTAATGAATTTTCTTTGTTTCTTCGCAGTCAATAAGATGACTAGGTTATTGGCTCTCGCTGATCTCGATAGGATCACGGCTTTTGGTCTTTTGGCCGAAGAAAGTCGTGGCACGAGGCTGCTCGTGACAACCGTGAACTTGCATAAATACGATTTCTTCAATCCCGAAGCAACATTAGAAACCTTACCGAGTAAGTGCCATAGCCTTAGCCAGTTTCGTTATTTGCATGCAATGAACTGTTTTGCTAACGATGTTCGTATGCAGCGACCATGCCTCCTAAAGTGCCCAGGTCGCCTTGACCAAGGCAGTTCACCTTCCCCCGCTGGTAGCGTGCCGAATGCACCAAATTAATTAACCTTACTAACCTAACTACTAAATTGTATATAGGGTGAGCAAGGGTCGGTCCCACAGGGAATGATTCGATTAAATCCTTTATTCTATGCCAATAGCCACAATGAAAACAACATAATAAAACCCTAAACAGTGAACAGGACAACACAACAGAGTAATGAACGGGGTTTGTAATCAAGGCAAACTAAAGTAAAACAAAGAAGTCTCTAATGGAAGAAAAATCAGGTTAAAAACAACCAGTTCTCGGTTCAAGATCCACCTAAACATGCATTGGACATAAACTAATCGTAATACTATTCTATCTCGTTATTATGGAACTACTGACCCTAGGAAACAACAAGCTTTGTTACCCGAATTCTCCCTTAATCATCACTATGAAATAAGCTCTTCAAGTAGATCCTAACCCTCGAACAACCTAGAATAAGCTCTCTAAGTTTAATTCAATGGCAGCCTTAAGAATTAGGAAAATAGATCAATCTAAGCAACAATCACACAAGCTTGGATTATTTAACTTAGGTTATGTTATTCAAGATGACAGAATGAAAACTTGTCAATAATCATCTATCATCATGTGTTACCCATTGAATAGGAAAAGGACAATTACGGATCACAATTCCTAATTCTAACAGATAAAATTCTGATAAAATAATTCAGCACGCCATTACTAAATCACCCAAACAGAAAATTATAAACAATTAAAACAAAATAACATAAAAAATTCCAATAAAAATGAGATTAAGAACAATGTTATTGAAGTTAGGTTACACCAATGACATGAATTTAGGCTTCAAAATCCCCTTGAACTGAAAAAGAAAGATCAGCCACACATCTTCACCTAGAAAGTAAAAACGCTGAAAAATAAAACTCTACTGTCTTTCCCCCTGTTTAACCTAACAACTTCTAATTAAATAACATGTGTTTTCCTTAATTCTGCCCTGGAATCATGAAAAATCTTTCATGGATCCTTCCTAAAAGATAGACTTCCAGATTTGTCAAAATCTTATCATATATGGAAAGTAGAATTCGTCTCTAGCTTGCACCACGATTCTCGCTATGTAAAAGGTCTTTTCTGGGCTTGGTCACTTCACAAAAATTTTATTTCTAGATGTGTAGATGAATCTGGGCTTTTGAATCACCTGTTTTCGATATCTGACGCTCCAGTTAGGCCCATTCAAAGATTCAATACTCAGCTAGGGAATCCTTCTGTGACTAGGATTCCAGGTTCGATTTTGCAACAACTACTGAGAACCCAAACAAACTCGGATTCTCAGCCATAACACCTTTATGAAAAGCTTGATTCGTCTACTTTAATTTCTCTGAAGAACACTTTTGCAATCGAGGAATCTAGCTCCCTAAAAAACCTAAAAAACGCAGCACTGGTCAGAATAACAAAAATTTTGGAATTTCCTAATCTTTTATCACTTATTCCCTAAAGTCTACCCAACTATGCCAAACTCACAAAATAAACTCTAATCAACTCAAATAGGAATAAAACATAACAAAAAACATAATATTGAAGGAATAAAAATATATAAATTACACTATTATCACCCGCGTTGGCGTCACCGGACCAGCCGGGGCAGCTCCCAACAGTCCCCCCCGTCGGAGGGACACCGACGAGTTCATTGGTTTGACCTACAGGTGCTTCTCAACCTACGGCTGCTTGCCCCAAGCAGAAGAAAATGGCCTAGAAGTCTAAGAAAAGGAAGCAACTTCGGGCCAATGAGTCTGAATCCGAGCCGGAGCGTGTGGCCGTTCAGCCCGAGAGGTCGCAACCTTACCAGGCATTTCAATCGGGAGGGCCTCTCGGGGGCGCGACTGGTATTACCATCACTCCGGAGGGTCTGCGAACTAGGCAAAGGGAGGCCACGGATCTTGGGAGGAGTCCAGGCAAGGAACCAACGGACGAGAAGCTACCTGCTGCGAGGCACGGGCACACCCGTGTTGGACTCTATGGGACAACTTTTGGATCATTTGCAGCAGATGGTGTTTACCCTACTGGAGTGCCAGCTCGCGAAAGCGTTCAAGCAGTTCACGGCCTCTAACCCCATGGACCTGATGTCCACGTCATTTCGGCACCTGAGCCAGGTAAAATGAACTGTCCTTGGTGAGGACTTTTTTGCATTTCCTTGATTTTTTCAATAGAAAGGAAATTAACTCTTTACTCTCTTTGCTACGCAGGCCCTGCTCGCCATGCACTTGTCCTTGCAGAAGGCTCAACTGGGGGCTACTGAGGGGCTAGTTGAGCTGAGAGAAGAGAACGTACGGCTTAAGCGAGACTTAGAAGCAGTACAAGCAGAGAAGAACCTATCCACCATTCAGATGAATCAATACCTGTCTGAGAGGAATGCTGTGCTTCGCTCGGTGGATTTCCAGAAGGCCGAGTTGGAAAAGCGAGGAGAAGAAGTTAAAGAGCGCCAAAGGATAGTGGCCAGACTCACCAAGGAGGCTGGAGAGAAAGAACTAGAGCTACGAATGAACTCTGAGCGGGCTTTGCGAGTAGAGCAAGAAAGGGCACAGCTGTGGGAAACCATTGAGAAGTAGAGGTGGGTGCTTGAGGCCGAACTCCAATTCTTCCAGGGTCGTGTCGCTTCGCTGATCGAAGAGAAGTAGCAACAAGAGTTGGAGGTGGAGAGGGGGGCTGCCGACTGGACGATCCTATCCATCTATGCCCTTCGACCGAAGAATCCCACCATCTATTTGACCGACCTCCCAAAAGATTACCAGGATATCCTCACCTCCATGGCGCAGGCTGATGATGAGGAAACAGCTCGGGGACATGGTCTGGAAGAGGAGCATCTAGAGGAGTATGCCCTAGAGGAGCCTACGGTAGGCCAGGTGGTTGGCGACCAGCCTGGGGATGCTGAGGTCACACCTCTCGGTCTTGGGGATGACGACCAGTGATTGCCTTTGCTTTTGTACTGCTTTTCCTGTGCTCGCTCAATATGTACTTATTTATTTTTATTTTAATAAATAAAGAGATCTTTTCCTTAATCATTTGTGAGTACTTATAATTTTTCGTACCCCACAAACGTTACACATGTGGACACGAGGTCGCTTTCTAACTATTTACAATAGTATTTATACGGATAACATTTTTGCGAACAGAACTATATACATGCGGGAAAAGATATTACAAAAGAACTTGTGTTATTTACAAGTCTTGAGAAAAGTAAAGTCTTTACAAGAGAATTGAGAAGAAATGAGTTTGGAATCACTGATAATATGGACGGAGATGTTCAGCATTCCAAGCTCGCGGTACTTTGGAACCGTTCAGCTTTTTGAGGTGATAAGTCCCTAGTCTTATTACTTTAGCGATGTGGTTCGCGCCTTCCCAATTCGACCCCAATACTCTCGCACTTAGTTCTCGCGTACCGAGAAGGACTTCCTTGAGAATAAGGTTGTTGACGTGGAAGTCTCTTCGTTTAACCTTAAAGTCGAAGAATCTCTTTGCGCGTTGTTGATAGGCTACTATTCTTAGCTGAGCCTTACCGCGATATTCTTCAATTAAATCCAGACTTGTACGCATAGAGCCTCATTGTCTGTTTCGTTGAACAAGTCTCTCCGAAGTGAACCAGTTCCTACCTCCACAGGGATCATTGCCTCGCAACCATATACTAGTGAGAAGGGTGTTTCTGAGGTAGAGGTTCTCGGAGTCGTTCTGTATGCCCACATGACTTCAAGGAGGTTGTCAGCCTAATTACCCTTGGCAGTGCCAAGTTTGGCTTTCAGAGTATGCTTGATGGTCTTGTTGATAGCTTCAACCTGACCATTTGCTTGTGGTCTTGTGATTAAGGTAAACTTTTTGTGGATACCTAGCTCATCGCAAAACTGCTTGAATTCCTTGTTATCGAACTACTTTTCATTATCAGAAATGAGGCTATGAGGAATTTCGTAGTGGCACACAATGTTCTTGAAGACGAAGTCCTTGAGCTTTTTAGTGGTGATCGTAGCCAAAGGCTCGGCTTCGACCCACTTGGTGAAGTAGTTCACCGCGACCACCGCATACTTGACTCTTCTTTTACCAACTGGCATAGGTCCGATGAGATCGATTCCCACATGGAGAATGGCTAGGGACTGGACATGGTTATCAGCGGATAGGAAGGAGCCTGCGGTATACTCGCGAACCGCTAGCACTTGTCGCACTTTTTAACAAAGTTGTAGGTGTTTTCTGGAGCAGGGGCTAGTAGTACCTTTGACGAACAACTTTGTTGGCGAGAGATCATACGGCCGTGTTATTATCACATATCCCTTCATGTATCTCCCTCATGATATAGTCTGCTTCCTCATCGGTTACACATCGGAGGAGAGGGGCGCTAAACCTTCGCTTGTACAATTGATCTCCTATAAGTGTGCAACGAGCAACTCTGGTTCGTAGGGTTCTTGCCTCGATCTTGTCGTTAGGCAAGGTCCCATCTCGGAGATACTGAATGATTAGAGTAATCCAGAAAGCTGACTCGGTCACACTCACGGCCTGTTCGGGTGAGCTGATACTCGGGGCCTCTATGAATCGAACAGGAATACTCTCTAACGCATCTGAATCTAGTGATGAGGCTATCTTTGCCAAGGCATCTGTGATAGAATTACTGTCCCTAAGGATCAGCGTGATCGTGAAGTGCTTAAATGGCTCGAGTGCGGCTTTAGCTTTCTTCAAATAACCGATCATGTTTTCTTCCTTGGCCTGATACTCCCCCAAAATCTGGTTGACGACCAACATGGAGTCGTTATGGATGCTGATTGTGGTTGACCCCATCTCTCTTGCCAACCACAGTCCAGCGAGCAGAGCTTCATACTCGGCTTCGTTGTTGGTCATTTTGAACCTAAACCAAAGAATGCCATGAATGCGAGTCCCTTCAAGACTGAGGAGGAGAAGGCTTGCCCCGATCCTTCTCTTGTTCGAGAATCCATTGACATAGAGCTCCAAGTCGATAGATTCTGAATAGTTTCCTGGTGACTTTGCTGGCCTGTTGCTCAGATTCCTTGATTGGATGATATGAGAATTCCGAGATGAAATCGACAACAACCTGCCCTTTGATGGTTGTTTTCGGTCTATACTGCAGATCGAATTGACTCAGCTCCATGGCCCACTTAAACAACTTACCCAAAGCCTCTAGTTTCTTAAAGACTTGTTTGAGCAGGTAATTAGTCAATACATGGATTGTGTGGGTGTGGAAGTAAGGTCGCAACTTTCTAGAGGTGATCAGTAGGGCATAAACCAATCGCTCCATTTCTGCATACTACATCTCGGTGTCCAGTAGACGCTTGCTCGCGTAATATAATGGCCATTGGACCCTGTTCTCCTCCCCGACTAAAGCTGCATTGACCGCATACTAAGAGACAGACAGATATAAAAGGAGAATTTCTTGCGGGAGAGGCTTGGACAGAAGAGGTGGCCTTCCGAGGTGCTCTTTAATGCTCTAAAATGCCTGTTCGCACATGGGATTCCATTCAAATTTCTTGTTGGTCCTGAATATATTAAAGAATGGCAAGTAGCAATCTGTTGCCTTTGATATGAAGCGACTGAGAGCTGTTATTTGCCTATTGAGACTCTAAACCTGCTTTCGATTGGTCGGGCTTTTCATATCGAGGAGATCTTGGATTTTTTTTAGGGTTGATCTCTATTGCCCTCTGATTAATAATGTACCCCATGAATTTTCCTAAGGATACTCCGAATAAACATTTGAGAGGATTGAGCTTCATTCTATACTTCTAGAGTATGCTGAACATCTCAGTAAGATGTGCTATGTGATCTGAAACGACATGCGATTTGACCAGCATGTCATCAATATAAACTTCCATCGATTTCCTGATCTGTTCGAAAAACATCCGGTTAACCAGTCGCTGGTAAGTTGCTCTAGCATTTTTTAGGCCGAATGGCATAACCCTATAACAATACAGCCCCCGATCTGTGACAAATGAGGTATACTCTTCGCCCAGTGCATACATCAAAATCTGATTGTATCCCGAGTAGGAGTCCATAAAACTTAGCAGCTCGTGCCTGGAGGTGGTATCAACGAGCTGATCAATCCTTGGCAAGAGAAAGCTGTCTTTCGGAAAGACTTTGTTGAGGTCGGTGAAGTCAACGTAGGTCCGCCATTTGTCGTTAGGCTTCTTTACCAAAACCGGGTTGGCAACCCAACTCAGGTAGAGCGCCTCCTGGATGGATCCATTTAGAAGGAGATTATCTACCTCAACCTTCAAGACAGTATATCACTCCGGATCTATTGCTCTTCTCTTTTGGCGGACCAACCTGGCCTTACTATAGATGTTCAAGGCATGGCAAATGATATTTGGGTTGATCTCGACCATGTCTACATGAGTCCATGCGAATACATCAACATTTTCCTTGAGGAAGTTGGTAAGGTTGCTGCCGTGCTAGGGATTGAGATTACTTCCAATTCTTAGCACCAGGTTCGGCTCGTTTTGATCGACTGACACTTCAGACAGGTCCTCAACCAATCCACTGGAAAGGCATTCTTAGATACGAGGATCCATGTTATCCTCAGCTGGACCAGGCTGTGGTTCGATCCGGCTGATCGCCATTGCCTGTTTAAGGATGCTAAGTGGACTGCTTTTCCCCTTGCACGCCATCTGCATTGCCCTTACATAGCAGTCGCGAGATATGCATTGAGATCTGCTAACTTCCCCTATCCCCATTGGGGTGGGGAACTTCATCTTTAGATGGTAGATTAAGGTGACTGCTTTGAAGTTTCTTAGTAGAGGTCGTTCTAGGATGCCGTTGAAAGCGGACGGACAGTCCACTACTAAGAACTCAATGATTTTGGTCACCTCGTTGGAGTCACCCAATGTGACCGGGAGTGAGATCGTCCTTTTGGGGATCAGGTGATCCTCGGTGAAACCATATAGAGGGATTGAGGCAGGCTTCAGGTCAGCCTCATCCAGTTTCATTCTCTTGAAAGCTCGCCAAAACAAGATGTTCACGATGCTTCCGTTGTCCACCAGCATTCGATGGACGTCGTAACGCCCTATTTAGGGCGTGATGACGAGAGCATCGTCATAGAGATGATGCAATCGAACTGCGTCTTTTTCGAAGAAAGTGATTTCCTCCTCTTTGCGAACCTTAGATGGTCGCGGCGTCGTGTTCATTACACTGATGGGGTCATGATGGGTTGTGCGAGCATACCTCTCTTGGGCACCTCACGAATTCCCTCCGAGGTGTGGTCCCCCAAGGATGATCCCTATGCTGTAAATACCCTTGCGACCACCACGCTTCTTGCCCGGTTCCTGTTGATTTTTCTCCCATACGGAAGCAGAGTCATCAACATACTCTTTGAAGTGCCCCTGCTTGATGAGGTCTTCAATAATGGTGGAAAAGTAACCCGCCCGGCCCGGCCCGCGGCGGGTTACATGCTTTGGCGGGTTACATGCTTTGGCGGGCTGGGCTTAACCCGCCCGCCAACAAAGGCGGGCCGGGTTAGGCCCGCCAATTTAGGGAGAGTGGCTGGCCCAGCCCGGCCCGCCAGCCCTAACCCGCCGGGTTAGGCACGGTCCGGGCCGGGTTAGCCCGATTTTCTTTTTTTTTT